TTTTATTTTTCTTAACAAACACTTAGTACTTCTTATAGTTCTTTTAAGTACTAACTATGCCTAATGTTGCTCATTATTAGTTATAAGTTTTCTTAAATGCGCTCCCGCTGGTATGGGAGAAATAATCAAACATTTACAAATTAAGTAAATTTACTTGCAGCACCCGCAGAACTGTATTTTCAGTTCCGTTTTATTAAGCGAAGGATAGGCGAACGCGTTTGTGCTCAGTAAGTGACAAGGACATGTGTCGATACAAAAGACAAATTTCAAAAAAGCCGTGAATGACAAGACTGGAGACGGAAAGTGAGCAGTTGCTGGTTAGAATAAATAGCAATAATACATGTCTACTCACTTAGCACTGATGGTATCATTATTTATTATAAACGCAGAGAGCATAGTTTTTGTGATAATGTCGCTAGCCATTAGAACAGCTTCCTATATTTACCGCATTCAGCACTACACAATAGCCTACTTAACTGCCATTATTCCATTCCGTCTGCAGCTTAATCCCCTCCTTGTTTTACTGACCTATTTATGCAGACTCGAACGTGCGGCCAATTTGCTTTTCGACTGAGCAGGTTGCGCTGCAACCGGGATCCATTTGTTACTATGCCGGCTGGGGAGGTGTGTATACAAACCAGCCTACTGGAATTCTGGAATTTCCGAATGCGCTCAGAGAGGCTGAAGTCCAGCTGGATTCCGATGATCACTGTAAAGATGTCTACGGCGCTAAATTTGCAAAGAGTAATTCATGCATAAGAACGGAAGGCAATGTGAGTCATAACGTCGATCAAACTTGTGAGAAAGCTTTCTACTAGGAGAATTTTTTGGTAAATTTAACTACCTCATATGAATCACTAATGAAAACCTCAGCGACCTTGGTGGCATGCCAACCCATGGCAGTATGTCTTCTAACCACATCAGCCACGAGGCCCCACTGGGAACAGTGAGTTTAACAGCATTTGGCTGTACGATCATGGGTTCCAAATTCGCCGAGTTTTTCCCAATCGGGTCAAATGAGGAACTTATTTGTAATCCTATTTATTTCCTCAGATACATTTGTTGTCCTCTTTAATGCATACGTGTTTTCACTCAACCTCGAAAAAGGTGTCATACAATGAATAAAAAAACCACGGCTGTACGGCCCAGCTGATGCCACTGGCCAAAGCATGATAAAGTAAGCATACATTCCAAGATTCCCGAACTCGAATTAATACCTGGAATCCAGGAGAAGCAGGTTTGTTGCGTATAACAATATATAACACGAAATGGGCGTTCACCGATCTGTTAGCACAACCACTCGCTCTGTCGTGTTTTTTAGGGCTAGACGTAAGAATAGCTTGTCGAAAACATCCTCGTTTACTACGCTCAAATAACTTCTAAGTTTATTGTAGTCTGCATGTTTTATTTTACTATTTCAGTGGTCCGGGGAACAGTGAATGGGCGTTCACCGATCAATTAAATCAATAAGTTGTTTCAACAGCAAACACAAAACGATTAATAGAAAGAGGGGTTGAAATAAATAATAGAGAATAGAATGACCATTTCTGGTTTACTTATTCGCCCTCATCCAGCCAGACACTAGCCCCGGTTTCACAACCCCTGAGGCTCGAACCCATGGCCTATTGGTTAGAAATCAAATGCTATAATTATTGAGACACGGGCGTTTTGTTCTTACGGTTGCTATCAAGTATATTAACAACGGTAAAAATATTTACTTGCACTGAACTATCTGCATTCTGTGAGATTTAGTTAGAATAAGCTGAAGTTCCTTGGGAGCAAGATAACTTTATCATGAAAATGTTTGACTTTGGTACCCCAGTTTGTCTTCAGCGAGTCAATGCTGGCTAAATCTTCCGTATATAGAAAGTATATCTGAACTTGTCAAAAGACGATTTCAATGACAAATTCAAATAGCCCACAAGGTTGGCTATTTCAAATGAAAACAAATTGTCTACAAAATACTGTGTAGCCATCTACGGCGGACAAGAAAGAAGCCGTTTACAAAGTAACGTTTATGCAGTTGTTGTGCCGTCGATCGTGGTCAAACCGGAAAATATCTATTCACCCGTAAACATGAACATCAGTTAGCAGTGAGGAGACGAGACCACTAATCCTACGTAGCCATGCACACATTGTACACAGGACACAAATTTATATGGGATAAAACCTGGCACCTGGTCGACTAGGCAGGGCGGTGAATTCCTTGAGGTAATGTACTTAGACGAGGCATTAATTACTAAGCATGAAAATTGAGATGCAAATTACAATTTCCTCAAGATCAAGTGAAAAATAACACAGCCACTACAGACCGGATAAGTGAATGTAGCGAACGCCTCTTGACTCAAGCTATGGCCATACAAAGAACCTTGTATTAAACACTGTGTAAAGTTATTTACTTTATGTACAGCTCCTGTGCTAGGCGCACCAACTTTGACCTACCCACTTGATACTGACTTCTTTTGACCTTCTCAAGGTTGACCACTGGCGGGCTAGCGCGACTTTTGCCCTCTTTGGGGTCGACGTAGTAAATGTAAGTAAAGGTGGCTGTTGGCTGTTGCTGTCAGCGGACTGATTAGTCGTTGCCGTTCGCGTGACATTTATAGGGGCATTTATGGGGCAGTCTTGGACTGTTGGTGGAAGCGAACCAATGATCTCCAGAAAACAATTCGGGGAAACAAGATGCGACGTCTGGGACAAGAAGTTAATTGGCCTGACG